CGGCCTGTCCCCCCCCCCTCGGCTATCCCCCTGTCCCCGCTGCTCCCTCAGACACCCTTGAGACAGGCATCCCCCTGTCTCTCCAGATATCCCCCTCTGCCCCCAGGCACAGCGGACTCAGCTCCAGGGGGTCCCTGGAAGCGTTTCCCTCCAGCCCCGGGTGACCCAAAGGGGACAGGGAGCAGGACGTGGCCTTCTTGGGTAAAAAAAACCCCTCTGCACCACTCCAGGCTGCAGTGTCACAGCTGATGCTGGGACATACTTCTTGGGCACATAAAATGACAGTTTTTTAGGTAGTCCTGGCAGTGAAATCCCTGACCAAATGTCACAGGGGAACCATGAGAAGTGCCGAAGCAATAGTGTGACCCAGCCAATATTCATCCGTCTTCTACCCCAAAGTGCCTCCTGTGGAGCAAGGCCGCAGGGTACAGGAACACAGCAGTTCGCTTCGCTTTAGCATGTCACACCAGGGACTCAAAATACGTTATAATTTCATTATTTATGTCATCCAGGCCTCCTTAGGCAGTCCGTCCTCTTTCTTCCGGTGCATGACAAAGCGGTTCAGGTACCCAACCCATAGATAACCACCACGGTCATAAAAAAAATAGGGAGAGCTTAACCGGCATTTTTGCCCTCCTCACTCAACAATCTGATCCTTTTTCAAAGAAATGCGTCAAAACCTCTTCTAATATTTCACCACAAAGGTTGGATTTGTGAGCAATTTTTAACTCAGCTGGCTAGGGCGAGCAGTCAGCCAAGAAAGGACATACCTCAGAAGTGAAGATGTGGGCAGCTGCAAATTACTGAGGTAAAAAAAAACAAAAAATCCTGTGTTTCTTCCAAATCCTTGGCAAGTCCTTCACCTGACCCCTGCCCTGAACCACCTCACCTTGTGTGAGCATGGTTAAAAGCTCCACATCCTCCCATTTGTGGAAATTTCATGCGCAGCATAGTCCGAGTATCATTTCAACTTTAAGATTTCAAATAAGCACAATCGCATCTCTGCTGGCAAAAATTATTATCCACAGGCAAGAGGGCTGTTCTGTGAAGCGCAAATCGAGGGTGTGCGGTGCATCACGAAAGATGTCCGGCAGCTCATTCAACACCAGGCAAAAGCTGCAAGCTGTGGTTTTGGGGTCTGGGAATCCCTACCTCCCGTCCCCAAACCAGGAACAACGCTCTTAATTTTTGGGTTTGTCTCGGTCAGTTTATATGTTCCAGGGGAGACAAAGATAGAGAGCAGCATCCAGAATACTTCAAAATAAAATGTTATATTCATATCAAACAAAGACCACATATTCCACTGTAGACTTAGCCACATCCAAGTGCTGCCTCTTTATGGCAGAAATTACAATCCCAAAGTGTAATTTCATGTGAAAATCTGCCTCCATTTAGGTCAATAAGAAGCCCGCTGTATTTCGGAGAGAGGAGAGGGCAGTCAGCACGACCCGCAGACATTCTCACCTGCCCCACAGGGATTCTGCGTGCCCTGGCAACCCCACAAAGCCCCCGCTGCTGCAGGTAGGCCAGAGGAAAACGCGATGACTTTGACATTCCTTATTGGCAAATTTAGTACATCAAAATGTGTTACAATCCTGCACAGCATTAAGGTTCTGTATGGCACGTAAAGGGTGTCAGCTACAATGCCTTACGTGGCAACATTGACAGTGTCTGCTTCTCTCATGTTTTTAAATGCTGAAACTGCATTTTCTACTTTTCTGGCTCTGTCCTTCAGACCAAGTCAGAATGCCAAGTCAGTGCATTTCTGCGTAAATTAAAATTACACTACTGTTTTTAGGCCATTTTTAAAAATCAAGTGTTTTACTGGGCAGTGAAGGCATAATTAAAAAGCATTTCATGACGTCTGCAGTTTTTCTTTTGGCTGTATTAGTAAAAGCAGGCATGAAACGGGTCTCCGGGCACTTTTTAACAGATGCTGTCAGATGGAGTTGGCCACAGAAATCAAAATTAAAAAAAAATATTGCTGCTCTTTCTGGCATATTCACGTTGGGACGCGAATGACCTCCGTTCTCTGTTCCCACCCGTACGCTTCCTTCTACCCACAGAATGTTTTATTTTAGTGGCAAGTTAAAACTAAAATACTGTTACTGCAGCAGTCAGTAGGAAATACTGCGCCTGGGCGGCTGTCAGGAGAAACAGTTACGCAATGTGTACATTTTATGTCTCACATTAATATCGGTCTGTTCGGGATGGCTAAGGGTCAGATGAAGTGCTCGCTTCAGACGCTGCCGACACAAGGGACTGGCAGCGTGCTGCAGCCTTATGTAAGAGTTGAACAGCTCAGTTGCTCCAGGAAAGGCACAGTGAATGCACCCGTGGCCTCACGACTGTCATTTTGGTTTATCCATTATACCGTAGAGCTTAAAGAATTACTCTGAAAGGGCCCTCAAGCTGACAAAGTGCTTCGGTCCTCAACTGAAGTTTCCAGCTTTTGCAGCACAGCTTGGTAAACAGAGAACATTCCAGCTGAAGAAAGTTCAAAAATTAAGATCACAAAACTTAAGATGTATGTTATCAGGAATATAAAAAAAAGGAAAGAAAATTTTCTTTTGAAATGTAAATAATACACTATGTAAATACTAAGCTCTGAAAATGTTCTCCCAAGGTTCTAGATTAAATCGATAGCATGCATCCATTTTTTAATTGTGTACTTGTTTTAGCATTAAGGTAGGGGATTTGATTTGTGAACAAACAGTACCTAAGAGACTAATGATATAAATGTAGTGAAGCATTTAAGTATAAATATCATCAAACCTGTGCTATGTACATGTAATTATTCTCTACAAAAAATGCCATGCATGAAAAAATTACAGGAACGATGAGGACAGACAGCAGTCCCGAGAGTCACCATAATTCTGGAGCTGGGATAGTACAACTCATCAGCCTTGTTACTGCTGGACTGCGGAGAGAACACTAAGTATGGCCCTCTGTTGCCTTCAGTGCTGTTATGGTGCTCAGACATGTGTCATTCATGCTACAATGCTCATAGACTTTAGTAATAATGTCTCAGAAATAACTTTTTGTGCAGGACCTGCTCCACAAATCTCAACAGTATTTATGGTGCAGACACCGTCTACGGGGGGGTTCATGCGACTGAAATTTCTCCATGCAAAGGATGTTCTCCGTTCTGTTTTGCAGAGTCGGTGGGCTCACTCAGGCTCAGCACGCTCTGTCCGGCTGAATGCTGATATAATTTCAGATGAGCGATTGTATAACAGGCTCATCTTTCATAGAAAACGGTGGAAGCCCCACTGCCCAAATAATTTATAGCTAAACGAATAATTTTGGAAAATACCGCAACAGAATACAGGGTCTGTTTTTCTTCATGACAGATTATGCAGAGTGATAAGTAATATTTCCCAAGATAAGCATTTGTTTTAGTACCAACTCAGAAGATATTTTTTTTTTCCTCTGATCAAATTACAGAATAGCTGGTATTAATTATTCTTAACAATAACCTGTTTAACATTAGGTATTGAAAAAGGCATCTTCCAAGGTAGATAAATTTAACTTGTTGGTCTACAGCAGTACGGAGGGCCATCTCCCAAATCTTTTATTTTTTACTTACAATAACACATTTTGTCTCATAAGTAGACCTCATTCAACACCAGTTCTGTTGAGTGAATAAACGCAAATTCTATTATCCTAGGATGATTTTTTTTTTTTCCTAATCATAGGTGCAGAGGCTTTGATCCCTCACATTTGCTACGGAAGCTCTGAGATTCCTGGAAAACTTCAGTGCCAACAGATGCCCAACAAAATGGTGCCCTCTAAAGGTAATTCGCACACACTGACAAGATAGAAGCTGAACAGCAGGGTGATATTTTTTACTGTACTTGGGAAGCAAATATATTGAAGGAAAAATGGGTGGAAGATGTGCATCTCTTAAAGAGACTCCGCTTAGTTCACAGGAGAGGAATGCAAGTAACATTCCCTTGGTCCGTAAGATTCAGGCATTTGCTTATTCAATTAAACTTAATGCACGAAAGCCAATCTAGATAAAGACAAGTGTTCAAGAGGAATTCCTACCGTTATCTTCATTTTTTGCTCCTATAAAATCTGCTTGCTTATTTAAAGAAGATTTTGAAGAGAAACCCAACATGTAGGCTACGATAAACTGGAATGTGAACCACTTGAGCTGAGGTCAACATTCCTTTGAAAATGTCTATAATATGTGATTTACCTTGAAAATTCGAGAGATTAAGAGTGCTATTGTCAAGAGACTGTGCCATTATCGAGGTAATAGTCTGTCATATTAAATTTTGTTAGAAAAAATAGTTTATAAAAGCAATAGCTGGCAACAATCAGATGACCCATTTTATTTTATTTTAACAAGCTATAAAACATTTTCAAAATGGTGATAAGAAACATTCAAGGGGTTGGCAGTACTACAAGCTGAAGAACTTCTGTTGACAAACCCAAGACCCTATTTTGAGTGATAGTGTGTAATGGCGCCAGGTGGCAATTCTTACCTGGTGATCCCAAGACTAGAAATTCCTCCCTGTCGTAGCTGTCACCATCTTCCTGACGCTGCGGTCCACGCGCCAGGACCGTCTGCCACATCCTCTTTCCGAACAACCGCTCGGAGACCTGCCTATATGCCGTGGATCTGAGCCTCCACACTCCATTGGCTTCCTCCACTGTTGGTTTTGGAGTGGGTTGTTTTGGGTTTTTTTTGGCTTGGCTTTTCTCTTCCTGTTCTTTTTGCTTCATGCTAAAAAACTTTCTGCTGGGTTCGGCGTGAGCTACCTTCCCCATGTGTGCCCTTACAAGAAGCCAGTGACAGCTCTTTCCCCCTTACCCTCTTAGGTGCAGCAATAACAGCGGGACTGTTTTCCCTGATCATCCGAAAGGTGTTCCGTTCCTCGCAAACAGGCTCAGCCAGTACTGCCTCTAAGCTAGGATGGGAGCAAGGGGGAGAAAAAAAAAAAAAAAAAAAATCGGCTTTCTAGTAACACAGGAGGGGTGTAAAAGGGTTGTCGTGCGTAAGTCTGACTTAAAACTTTAAATTGCAAATATACTGTGGGGGTTAAAAAAATGTTGGTGGCAATAGAAACTCTAAATTGGCATCTTCAGGGCCACGGAGATGCTCTGACCGCTAAAGGCCCTCTGCTGTGAGGACAGGCTGAGTTGGGGTTGTTCAGCCTGGAGAAGGGAAGGCTCTGCAGAAACCTTAGTGGCCCTTCCAGTGTCTAAAGCAGCTCCAGGAGAGCTGGGGAGGGACTCTGGATCAGGGAGGGGAGCGATGGGACAAGGGGTGATGGTTTTACACTGAAAGAGGGGAGATTTAGATGAAATATGAGGAAAAAATTATTGACTGTGAGGGTGGTGAGGCACTGGCCCAGGTTGCCCCGAGAAACTGTGGCTGCCCCATCCCTGGAGGTGTTCAAGGCCAGGTTGGACGGGGCTTGGAGCAACCTGGGCTGGTGGGAGGTGGCCCTGCCCAGCAGGGGGGG